AACTTGAAGTGCGTTGCACACATAGAGTGAGCTACACAAGATGGGGGAGAACATGTAGTGAGCTACACAAGATGGGGGAGAACAAAGAGTTGCACAAGATGAGGAGAACATGGAGTGAGTTGTACAAGATGAGGAGAACATGGAGTGAGTTGTACAAGATGAAGAGAACATGGAGTGAGTTGTACAAGATGAAGAGAACATGGAGTGAGTTGTACAAGATGAAGAGAACATGGAGTGAGTTGTACAAGATGAAGAGAACATGGAGTGAGTTGTACAAGATGAAGAGAACATGGAGTGAGTTAAACAAGATGGGGAGAAATTGGAGTGAGCTACACAAGATGCGGGAGAACATGGAGTGAGTTGCAAAAGATGGAGAGAACATGAAGTTCGTTGCACAAGATTGGGAGAACATGGAGTGACCTACACAAGATGGACAGAACATGGAGTGAGCTGCAAAAAATGGGGGAGAACATGGAGTGAGTTGCAAAAAATGGAGAACATGGAGTGAGTTGCAAAAGATGGAGAGAACTTGAAGTGCGTTGCACACATGGAGTGAGCTACACAAGATCAAGAGAACATAGAGTGAGCTCCACAAGATGGGGGAGAATATAGAGTGAGTTTTACAAAAGGGGGAGAACACGGAGTGAGTTTCACAAGATAGGGAAGAATATGTAGCAAGCTACACAAGATGGGGGAGAACAAAGAGTTGCACAAGATGAGGAGAACATGGAGTGAGTTACACAAGATGGGGGAGAACATGGAGTGAGTTACACAAGATGGGGGAGAACATGGAGTGAGTTACACAAGATGAGGGAGAACATGGAGTGAGTTAAACAAGATGTGGAGAACATGGAGTGAGCTACACAAGATGCAGGAGAACATGGAGTGAGTTGCAAAAGATGGAGAGAACATGAAGTGCGTTGCACAAGATTGGGAGAACATGGAGTGAGCTACACAAGATGGGCAGAACATGGAGTGAGCTGCAAAAGATAGGGGAAAACATGGAGTGAGTTGCAAAAAATGGAGAACATGGAGGAGAACTTGAAGTGCGTTGCACACATGGAGTGAGCTACACAAGATAAGGAGAACACGGAGTGAGTTGAACAAAGACTGGAGGCTTCATATGAGCTGGTTTAGGACCTATGCTTCATTTGGGGAATAAAGGGCAGCAAAAGAAGAATACAAAAGAGGAAAAATTATGAGTGAGTGAATGAACTGATTATATTACCCTTGATGTCTCTATGTACAATGTTGTTCTCATGGAGATGAGCTATGGCCCGTACAATCTCTTGTGTATACCTCCTGATCATGTATTCTGGGAGGCCAATTCTGGCTACTTCTTCAATGGAACCACTGTCGCAGTACTCCATGAACATCAGCATTTCATCCTGAGGTTGTTTTAAAGACAAATACCTCATCATTTTTTCATTCAACAACTTTGTTAATGTTTCACAACAGAAATATCTTCAATATAGCAGAATACAGCAATCAACAGAAGATTCTTTTTGTGGCCTGAGCACTGGCTTGGAACCTGGTGGCAACAAAATAATCCAAACCTGTGGATGAAACATATATAACCCAGACCTAATCTCAGCCAGTCTGTGAGGGAAACATGACCAACCCAGACCTAATCTCAGCCAGTCGGTGGAGGAAACATGACCAACCCAGACCTAATCTCAGCCAGTCTGTGGAGGAAACATAACCAACCCAGACCTAATCTTAGCCAGTCGGTGGAGGAAACATGACCAACCCAGACCTAATCTCAGCCAGTCTGTGGAGGAAACATAACCAACCCAGACCTAATCTCAGCCAGTCGGTGGAGGAAACATGACCAACCCAGACCTAATCTCAGCCAGTCGGTGGAGGAAACATGACCAACTCAGCCAGACCTAATCTCAGCCAGTCTTATGGGATAGTAACAGTCTATCTACGTCCGTCTCACCCCTTACTTGAGTGGACTGACAGCCAGATCACCGGATCACTCTTCGTTGCACCATTCTCTTCAGATTGTGATCTACTTGTGCCTCTGCAAAGGTGCCTGGCTCCCAAAAGGCACTTACAACATCTAGCTAGTGAGATATGCAGGTCGTGCTGTCAAGGCGTGTAACAGTTTTAGTAAGGTTCTTATTCTGTTGGAAAGCTTGAACTGTTCAGTTGAATTTGGTGTATTATTCTGAATGCCATTAATGATGGTAGTTATGGAAGATGAGACGACAAGATCCAGATACATTATATGACCACTGTGTTATGAGGCTGAGTATACTTAACAATGTTGGAGCACGTACGTGGAGAATTGAATCAGATATTAACATAAGAGGAGGACATGAATGCAGCTTAAAGGCTCTAGTGTTGTTAATAGTCTCTCTCTCACACACACACACACACACACATGTATGTACACATACATACACAAGCATGTACCCACACATACACACACATACACATGTGGAGAATTGAATCAGAGATTAACACAAGAGGAGGATATGGATACAGCTTAAGGGCTCCAGTGTTGTTAATAGTCTCTCTTTCTCTCTCTCACACACTCACATGTACGCACACATGCACATATGCACAAATACATACAGATGAAGTGAATCACAGAGACTGACATAAGAGGATGACATGGATGCAACTCTCTCACACACAGACACATGCATACACGTGGAGAAGAGAATCAGAGAATAACATTTAAGGAGATAGCAAAAATCTACCAGACCTGGTGAGAGTTGGGTGATGACCTATGGTCCAAAAAAAAAAAAAAAAGTATAAGAGTAGCAAACGCTGAAGGCCATTAAAAAAAAAAAAAACACTGGTGCAGACATTATTATAACAGCAGCACAGAAGCAGAGGATCCACTGTGCCATTACTTGTTGACTGTACAAAGAAAAGAAAAAATGTGAGAGAGGGAGAGGGATGGAGGGAAAGGTAAGAGGGGGGGGGGGGGGGGGGAGGGCTGATATGCCACAATGTGTACACTGACACATCATGTACACCTTAACTAATATGAACACTAACCACTCTATGACAGGAAGTCAAGTCACCTAGTGCACCTCATAATATGAACACTAACCACTCTATGACAGGAAGTCAAGTCACCTAGTGCACCTCAACTTATCATATGAACACTAACCACTCTATGACAGAAGGTCAAGTCACCTAGTGCACCTCAACTTATCATATGAACACTAACCACTCTATGACATGAAGTCAAGTCACCTAGTGCACCTCAACTTATCATATGAACACTAACCACTCTATGACAGGAAGTCAAGTCACCTAGTGCACCTCAGCTTATCATATGAACACTAACCACTCTATGACAGAAGGTCAAGTCACCTAGTGCACCTCAACTTATCATATGAACACTAACCACTCTATGACATGAAGTCACCTAGTGCACCTCATAATATGAACACTAACCACTCTATGACAGGAAGTCAAGTCACCTAGTGCACCTCAACTTATCATATGAACACTAACCACTCTATGACATGAAGTCACCTAGCGCACCTTAATTTATCTTATAAACACTAACCACTCTATGACATGAAGTCACCTATTGCACCTCATCTTATATGAACACTAACCACTCGATGACATGAAGTCACCTAGTGCACCTTAACTTGTTATATGTACACTTACAACCCCATGACATCAACCCACTATGCAGATCAAGTCACCTATTGCTCCTCAACAAATTACATGTACACTCACAACCCTATGACATCAACACATTACGTAAATCAAGTCAACCAGTGCACATGAACTTATTATATGTACATTGACAACCCTATGACATCAACCCACGATGTACATCAAGTCAACCAGTGCACATGAACTTACCATGCATACACTGATTCATCTGGTGCACACAAATGCATCCATACACCATGATCCACATTCAAGACTCATCCATACACCACAACCCACATTCAAGACCCAACTGGCAGTATAAACATTGACCCACCCAGAACAACTGGCATCATGAACACTGAGCCATTTACAGCAACAAGCTTCATAAACACTGACCCACCTTGTGCACCTCCACCCCAAAGTACTTGACTAAATTCTTGTGGTTGATGCCCTCAAAGTTTTTTATTTCATCGCAAATCTCTTTTAGAGACTGCTGGTCATTTGGCTGGAACTTCATCTGAAAAACAAGAACAACAAATAAAGACAATACAAACAATAGTCCTCATGCACAGTACTGCGTGTCTCGAACCTGTCCTCATGTACAGTACCTGCTTGTCTCTAACTGTCCTCATGTACAGTACCTTCTTGTCTCCACCTGTCCTCATGTACAGTACCTGCATGTTTCCACCTGTCCTCTTGTAAGTACCTGCATGTCTCCACCTGTCCTCATGTATAGTACCTGCTTGTCTCCACCTGTCCTCATGTACAGTGCCTGCTTGTCTCCACCGGTCCTCATGTACAGTGCCTGCTTGTCTCCACCGGTCCTCATGTACAGTGCCTGCTTGTCTCCAGCTGTCCTCATGTACAGTACCTGCTTGTCTCCACCTGTCCTCATGTACAGTACCAGACTTGTCTACACCTGTCCTCATGTACAGTACCTGCTTGTCTCCACCTGTCCTCATGTACAGTACCAGACTTGTCTCCACCTGTCCTCATGTTTACAGTACCAGACTTGTCTCCACCTGTCCTCATGTTTACAGTACCTGCTTGTCTCCACCTGTCCTCATTACAGTACCTGGTTTGTCTCAACCTGTCCTCATGTTTACAGTACCTGCTTGTCTCCACCTGTCCTCATTACAGCACCTGGTTTGTCTCCACCTGTCCTCATGTTTACAGTACCAGACTTGTCTCCACTTGTCCTCATGTACAGTACCTGCATGTCTCCACCTGTCCTCATGTACAGTACCTGCATGTCTCCACCTGTCCTCATGTATAGTACCTGCTTGTCTCCATCTGTCCTCATGTACAGTACCTACATGTCTCCACCTGTCCTCATGTACAGTACCTGTTTGTCTCCATCTGTCCTCATGTACAGTACCTACATGTCTCCACCTAGCCTCATGTACAGTACCTGCTTGTCTCCACCTGTCCTCATGTACAGTACCTACATGTCTCCACCTGTCCTCATGTACAGTACCTGCATGTCTCCACCTGTCCTCATGTACAGTACCTGGTTGTCTCCACCTGTCCTCATGTACAGTACCTGCATGTCTCCACCTGTCCTCATGTACAGTACCTGTTTGTCTCCATCTGTCCTCAGGTACAGTACCTGCATGTCTCCACCTGTCCTCATGTACAGTACCTGCATGTCTCCACCTGTCCTCATGTATAGTACCTGCTTGTCTCCATCTGTCCTCATGTACAGTACCTACATGTCTCCACCTGTCCTCATGTACAGTACCTGTTTGTCTCCATCTGTCCTCATGTACAGTACCTACATGTCTCCACCTGTCCTCATGTACAGTACCTGGTTGTCTCCACCTGTCCTCATGTACAGTACCTGCATGTCTCCACCTGTCCTCATGTACAGTACCTGCATGTCTCCACCTGTCCTCATGTACAGTACCTGTTGGTCTCCATCTGTCCTCAGGTACAGTACCTACATGTCTCCACCTGTCCTTATGTACAGTACCTGCATGTCTCCACCTGTCCTCATGTACAGTACCTGCATGTCTCCACCTGTCCTCATGTACAGTACCTGGTTGTCTCCACCTGTCCTCATGTACAGTACCTGCATGTCTCCACCTGTCCTCATCCCCAAGTTTATTCAACAAGAATAAAAACAACAGAGGATCACACTGCCTTGCAATCAGACAACTCCATATGTGCTCCAAACTTCCACATATCACTCAAAAACCCAAGATCACTGCCTCCATCAAGATCCATCATCAATCTGCATGTCCTACCGATCATCCTCATTACAGCACTCCTGAAAGTCTCTCTGTCTCTAGCCAATTCAAGTCCTATGTGCTTTCACAGCCAACGCATCTTCAGTGTCTCATATCCACCTTCATGGAGGCCAGCCTCTGCCTCGTTTTGCAGAAACTGTACCCTCCATCACTATTTTATCCAGACCACCATATTTCTTCTTCTTCTTCTGCCTTTCTATCCCCCAATGGAGCAAAGGCCCTCAACAAACTAACACCAAGTCGTTCTATCCTTCGCCATTACATGGAGCTCTCCCCATATTCTCCCTATCTTTCTAACTTCATTCTCCAGCTCTCTTCTCATTTATCATGGCCAAAATACCTCAGCCTTCGGAACAGGAAGTCAATGTTTTTTTCATTTTGGTCCACGCTATTCTAAGCTGTGAATATGTTTCTTTAAAGACTGAATGAGTCAATGACTCACAAACTTGAGCTGCTACAGGAAAGATGTCCATGACTCACATAAATAAGCTGCCATGGGAAAGATGTCCATGACTTACATCCATAAGCTGCCATAGGAAAGATTACTATGGCTCACATCCATAGGCTGCCATTGAAAAGATGTCCATGACTCACATCCATCAGTTGCCACATGAAAGATGTCCATGACTCACACCCATAAGTTGCCACAGGAAAGATGTCCATGACTCACACCCATAAGTTGCCATAGGAAAGATCTCCATGACTCACACCCATAAGTTGCCACAGGAAAGATGTCCATGACTCACATCCATAAGTTGTCAGGGAAATATGTCCATGACTCACATCCATAAGCTGTCATGCAAAAGATGTCCATGAATCACTGCCATAAGTTACCATGGGAAAGATGTCCATGACTCACATCCATAAGTTGCCATGGGAAAGATGTCCATGACTCACAGCCATAAGTTGTCATAGAAAAAATATCCATGACTCACAGCCATAAGTTGTAATGGAAAAATATCCATGACTCATAGCCATAAGTTGTCTTTGGAAAGATGTCCATGACTCACAAACATAAGTTGTCATGGGAAAGATGTCCATGACTCACAAACATAAGCTGCCATAGGAAAGATGCCTTATCTCAACATTTTCACTACCACTTGCTTGTGGGTGCCATGCTATAGGTTCCTCACTCTTGTTTAGCCATGGCACTGCTGAAGCAAGTCTTTTTCTGACTAATTTGTGCAGTCGCCGTAGTTGTTCACTATTTAGCCCAATTTTCACAATCAGTGACGTCAATTTCTTCATTATCAATTTAAATACGTGGTTGGTGTACTATATTCACTGTGAACATTTATTCTTTAAAATAAGGAAAAGATACTCTCTTTCTGGTCCTTTCCGATCCAACATATAACATCAGACAAACCTCCTATATGGCTATAAATTTCCATAAATCACTTCAAAACCTGAGAACTATGATTCTAGCAGATATCAACAACAGATAGCAACAACAACAGATAGAAACAACAGACAAACCTTCTTCAAGGCCATCAATTTCCACAGATCACTCAAAAACATGAGAACTATGGTTCGGGTAGATAACAATAACAGACAGCAACAACAACAGATGGCAACAACAACAGATGGCAACAACAACAGATGGCAACAACAACAACAGATGGCAACAACAACAACAGATGGCAACAACAACAGATGGCAACAACAACAGATGGCAACAACAACAACAGATGGCAACAACAACAGATGGCAACAACAACAGATGGCAACAACAACAGATGGCAACAACAACAGATGGCAACAACAACAGATGGCAACAACAGCAGATGGCAATAACAACAGATGGTAACAACAACAGATAGCAACAACAACAGATATCAACAACAACAGATAAAACCAACAAAAGACAAACCTCCTTCATGGCCATCAACTCCCCAGTGTTGATGTTGACTGCTGTATACACCTTCCCAAACTGGCCTTCACCTTGATACAGAATAGTCAGCAAGTGACAAATGCAACAGTTTCCGGAAAACAGACATTAACAATGAAACTATCAAATATGAAATGATAAAACATGAAGCTTTCAAACATGGAACAATAAAAAGTGAAAACTATTAATTATTAAAATATCAAAAATGAAATGATCAAATAAGAAAAGACCAAACATAAAATCAAAACAATCAAACATGAAACTATGAGTTATGGAACTATAAAATATAAAATCAATGAATAGGAACTATGAAACTATGAAATATTAAACTATGAAATATGAAACTGTAAAATATTAAACCAAAGAATATGAAATTATTCAACATGAAATATTGAATTTGAAATTATCCATAATGAAACTATCAAATATAACAAAATAATATAAACAGCAAAGACAATTTACACTGAATAAACATTTACAAATGCCTTAACCCAAAAAAACTGTATACCTAATGTTTACGATTGCTGATATTACCCAAAAAAATACAGAAAGAAGCAGGCATATTAATTACAACTTTGACATTACATCAGAAAGAAAATTACATTAATCAGACATTACATCGACTAGACATTACATCAATCAGACATTATATCAATCTGACATTATACAAATCAGACATTACATCAATCGGACATTACAGCAATTATACATTACATCAATAAGACATTATATCAATCACACATTACATCAATCTGACATTATATCAGTAAGAAATTACTTCAATCAGACATTACATCAATCAGACATTATATCAATCAGTCATTACATCAATCAGTCATTATATTAGTAAGAAATTACATCAATTGAACATTACATTGATTAGACATTACATCAATCAGACATTATATCAATCCAACATTACATCAATCAGACATTACATCAATCAGACATTACATCAATCAGACATTACATCAATCAGACATTACATCAATCAGACATTACATCAATCAGATGCCTTTTCAAAACTGAATGGCTGCAAGGAATCTCCAAAGTTACCTGTCTCTGACCCTACTGACTGCCATCAACTTGTTAAGTTATCCTGCCACTTGTAACACTGTCTACTTCTCGCTCCTGTTTTTGTTTGTCTTCCTCCAGTATGGTTTTTATAAGTATCTTGGGTTTTTTTTACAGTGTCTTGGGTTTTTATAATGGTGTCTTGTATTTTAATGTGGCTGAAATATAGGACCTTTTTTCATCAAGTATGTTTTTTTTCTTGTTCTTTTACTAGTGGAAAGTTATGGGTGCTTGTCCACTTCTGAACTTTAGTCTTGTTCCAGAAAATGAGTGTTACAGGCACATCCATTTTAGCGATCTGACTTATGTGTATGCAGACTGTTAGTTCCTTGCCTCTTAGGTAGATGCACTCCCACTTTAAAGAAAGCCTCCCCAACTGGTCGACTCTTATAACATTCTATGTTGGGAAGGCAGTGTGTCCATTCTTGTCCACTGCTTACTGAAATGATAACAACAATGAAGTATAACAATTCTGTCAACAATGTTGATAAAAAGCCAAGCTGCTGACCTATTTTGATGCCCCGCTGCCACCGGAAGTTGACCCTGCGTACACTGATGCGGTAGTCTGGCTCTTGGACACGGGTAGTTACCATGCCTATGACCCTTGTTTCTCTCAACTTCTGTTCTCTAATGGCCTCCAACTTTTCGATACGCAGAGCCAGACGTTCATTTCTGGGCCGTGTCCTGTCGATCTCACTGAGAACTGTGGACATGAAATCTATAGTTAGCTACTTACATTCTGCTGCAACACAGTTGTTAAAATGTATCTCAGTGGTCAGTTCAGATTTATCTACAGCCATCTACTTACATTGTGCTACAACACAGTTGTCAAAATGTATCTCGGTGGTCAGTTCAGACCTATCTACAGCCATCTACTTACATTGTGCTACAACACAGTTGTCAAAATGTATCTCGGTGGTCAGTTCAGATTTATCTACAGCCATCTACTTACATTCTGCTGCAACACAGTTGTTAAAATGTATCTCGGTGGTCAGTTCAGACCAATCTACAGCCATCTACTTACATTGTGCTACAACACAGTTGTCAAAATGTATCTCGGTGGTCAGTTCAGACCTATCTACAGCCATCTACTTACATTCTGCTACAACACAGTTGTCAAAATGTATCTCAGTGGTCAGTTCAGATTTATCTACAGCCATCTACTTACATTGTGCTACAACACAGTTGTCAAAATGTATCTCCGCGGTCAGCTCAGACCAATCTACAGCCATCTACTTACATTCTGCTACAACACAGTTGTCAAAATGTATCTCAGTGGTCAGTTATACTTTATTTTCAATGCAGGCATACTGACATGTCTACAGACTAATGAACATGACTAGGAAACAGCATAAGGAAACTGTTGGCACCTTTCCGGCTTTCCAGATGATAGTGTTACATTGTAATATGAGGAGGCATGGGATTCGCAGCCCGTAGTGATGGTTCGTTCTTCTTCTGTCATTGATCCCCCAGTGCAGCATCCTCAAGCAAGTCATCCTATCTTTTTTTTTTCTTTCATGTCTAACTCAGCCCCTGTCCTCCCCATTCTTTCTCTTTCATGTGTAGCTCAGCCACTGTCCTCCCCATTCTTTCTCTTTCCTGTGTAGCTCAGCCCCTGTCCTGCCCATTCTTTCTCTTTCATTAGTAGCTCAGCCCCTGTCCTGCCCATTCTTTCTCTTTCATGTGTAGCTCAGCCCCTGTCCTGCCCATTCTTTCTCTTTCATGTGTAGCTCAGCCACTGTCCTCCCCATTCTTTCTCTTTCGTGTGTAGCTCAGCCCCTGTCCTCCCCATTCTTTCTCTTTCATGTGTAGCTCAGCCACTGCCCTCCCCATTCTTTCTCTTTCATGTGTAGCCCAGCCCCTGTCCTGCCCATTCTTTCTCTTTCATGTGTAGCCCAGCCCCTGTCCT